TGAGTTCAGGGATAGCAACCGACTGCAGATCTGGTTGTGGGGCCTCCAGAACAGCAGTCCTCAAATAATGCAGGCCAGTGAGTACTGGTGTCCTAACACAGCAGGTCCCAATCAAAAGTTAGGTCTGAGCTGGGTGCCAGTGGCTCATGCCTGTAATCCTAGCTACTCAGGAGGCTGAGATCTGAGGATTGAGGTTCAAAGTCAGCCTCGGGCAGGAAAGCTGTGAGACTCTTATCTCCAATAAACCATCAGAAAACCGGAAGTGGCTCAAATGATAGAGTGCTAGCCTTGAGCTGAAAAGCTGAGGGACAGCGTTCAGGCCCAGAACTCAAGCCCCATGACCAAACAAAAAAAAAGTTAGGTCTAGTTCCAATGGAGAAAAGTAGAGAAGTTTTCAAGGCTGGTAAGAAAATAAGAAAAAGAAAACTGATGGACTGTTAATGGTTTTCCCTGGATTTCCTTGTTCTCTCACAGGACTTCTGAAGAGAATATGAGCCACAGGAAACACATGAAAAACTTTCATAGTCTTACCTGTTTCCACAACCTACAATATGAATTTCCCAACAACTTTATTGTGTAACTTCCCCCTTTGTTTTGAAAACATAATATCCATATGCAATAGTATATAATAATAGGCAAGCATAATATTAGATCTATATTAAATATTGAATATTGGGGAAACAGGCATTATATCAGCCATAAAATTTAGCCACGTGACATGTTTCTATGTTCATAGAGATTTCACCAATTGTAGGCTTCAATCCCCCTCCATGGGAGGGTCTACTGGCCTTCTCCATACCACATATCCATGCAGCATGCAGCAGAAGGAAGTATCAGGAGAGAGAGGGGGGAGATCCCTTTGTGTCCCTTAGTTTGAAAATTTCCAAAGTCATTAAGTATAATGAAGCCTAATTACTAGGAGGCTGAACATTAAAAGAATAGTAACACCTGACGGGTAATTTTCCATTTGCCTTTTCATAGATAGCAGTTTTTAGAGGATATATGGATTATATGTGTGACCACTTCTCCACATCGGTGGCCACCATCTTTTGTTTTGTTTTGTTTTTTGGTCCGGTCGTGGAGCCTGAATTCTGGGCCTGGGTGCTGTCCCTCAGCTCTTCAGCTCAAGGCTAGCGCTCTACCACTTGAACCACAGTACCACTTCCGGCGTTTTTTCCTTTTTGCTTATGTGGTGCTGGGGAATCGAACCCAGGGCCTCACGCATGCAAGGCAAGCGCTCTACCACTGAGCCACCTTCCCAGCCCCGTTGGTGGCCACCATCTTAAAATGCCATTTTCACCATTTTGCATCTAGAATAAGGGATGGACTTTGGATGTGCTGCTTAAACAGCAGGACTCTGGGTGTCCTGGATACTAGGCGAGGAGTACTGGGTCAGGATTCCAGATGTGTAACTGAAACACAATGAGCTTTGTCCAAAATGTTTGGAGAATATGGCAAGATATGGAGAGTGTAGGCTTGCCATAAAAAGTACTCTCCTCTAACTTTCCCTAAATTTTGAGAAAGGAAAGATATTTGAGAGTTTTCATTCATTCATCTAAGTTGAGTTGGTCACAACTTTTTCTAATGCTATGGACTACAACGTCAAAGCAGTGTGCAAGCTTCCCCTGCCAGACTTCCTTCTAGTTCTCGAGACTTTTTAGAGGATCAGTATCACTTAGATACCCTTGAAGGTTGTCTTCTCTTTGAACTCGCAACTGCTCCTCTTACTTATTACAGACTTCATGCTAAGACTGGCTTTAAAGATGAGGAGCTCCCTTTCAATGGATCCTACAGTCTGGGACTTCCAAATTCCCCAGAAACAAAATGAAAGTATTCCTGAGAATAGGCAGACATCCTATGGAACTTTTCGGGATACAGAACTTCCTTTACTTGCCAGATGTTGAGTTAACCTGAAACAAATTATAAGCTAGGCCTAAATCATATAAACAGAAGACATTATTTCCAAAATAGTCAAAGTAAAAGGAGAAGGAGGAAAGTATTGAACTTATTCCAGAGCCTGTCACATAGCTGGTGTTCATTGTGGCTGAACTGAGAGAAACCTTGTGGTAGTTCCTAAAGTAGTTATTCTTGCTGTTGTCATTGTGATTGTAATTCTAGGAATAAAATTCATGGGCCCACACAGTCCAGCCCTGACTCTATCATTAATCCACACAGCCCCTTAAAGGATTAAAGCAGTGACAAATAGCTTCTCTATGCAATTTAAGAACTCAGTGGCATATAAAGTTACATGATGTGTATTATTTCTTATATTTACTGAACAGCACATTAAACCAATCCTCTTCCCCTTTGGTTGCAGAGTTGGTTCAAAAATAGGAGAGTGAAGTATAGAAAAATGATGCAGGAAGCGATGAACAGTGATGATAAACAAATTCACCCCCAGAATGCAACTTTGGAGGAGATTTAAAGTGCTATCCTTCAAGATGCAGATGAAGATAATTTCTTCTAGTGCCGCCAACATATGTATCACCCATACTAACCTATCGCCATAATTGGCTTGGCACTAGTATGACCATTAAAGAGATGAATTCTCAGTGTTTGTGTCTTTGTGTGTATTTGTACATGTCTGCTTCTTCTGGAATTGGAGAGATATGAAGGTAAATTGTTCATAAAATGCCATTGAAGCAAAATGACATGGTCTGCTTTTGTGAAGTAACATTTGAGCCACCATCTGGCACAGCACAGATGTTTCCCAAGTGTCATGGTGGTTTTCACTGACTCATACTTTCTCTCTGTCCTTCCATCTGCCCTACTTGTCTGTGGTCTTCCTCTTTGGGACCACAAATATGATGTACCAGGAAAGGCAGGGCAAGTCTTAATGAGAGGATAGTGTGCTTCCACACAGGCTATATTCCCTTCAACACTGCCAAGTTCAGTCCAATACTGAAGAGAGAAACTTCTTCAGAGGCTACTCATAGTAGGAAGCAGCTGTACAGTAACCTAGGCAGCTCCAAATTCTATTCCCTGCCATCCTTTTCTTGGGAGTGACCAGGCCACTAAGAGCTATTCTAGCCCAGAGGTCCCACTGCTCCAAACAATAACAAGACAATTCCATCCAGGCCACAGTGATCCTTTGAAAAGCTCTTTTCAAATGCACCAGAAAATCAAGAACAAAATGAATACATATGTAGATGTGTATGGCTTACCAAAATGCAGCCAATAAGATATAAAACATTTAAACAACTATAGCAAGCAATGAGATTGAAATAATAAAACTTTTTAAATTGTGCCACATGATTCCTTCTCTATGAAAGGCAGAGAGGATTATAAGATGAAGCTCACATACTTGTTACCAGGTTCAGCACTTATTCATGAAGATACTTTGTTACATGAAGAAGCTAATCAATTCTTCAATGTACTCCCATCTGTCCCTGGAGTTCTGTGATACAGAACATAAAGTTTACATCATTTCATCAGTAAATGTGTGTATTCTAAATTGAACATGTGACCAGGCTTCTTTCTTTCATGCCACACATTATTACCTCCCCTCTCACTATGCTTCTCCCTGCTATAATCACAGGCCACTTTGTCCTCACCATGTAGCAATCAATCTTGCATTGTCATTCCACCTTTGCTACTTACCCACTGTTTAAGAAGACCTGCAGCAACGTCATCTTAGGTATTTTAAAAAATCTATAGGAACTAATTGGACCCTATGACTCAGCTGTTACCATTTCAGTGACTAATAAATGTAATGACAGTCATCATTCATGTAAAGCTAAGGAAAGCACTGGCTTTATGTAGGTCTTTTTCAGACCTTCATCTCATTGTAGTTCACCGTTAGATAAAATGTGACCATTCTCAAACATCAGGCTGCTCTCATTCCTGATAACTTGCATTCCCAGCCTCATGAATGTTATAAAGCAGAAACACAACACAAAAGGCATATTTAGTCTGGCAAAGTAGAAGAGATCTTAACTGAAGGGTTAATTTTAGAGGACATGCAGCATAGGACACCCCTTTCCATGACTGACTGAGGACCACAGGCAGAAGAAAGGGGGCAGGTACATATCTTGGCGGTCAGGGAGGCAGGCTGTGGAGCTTTTCAGGTGACCAGTCAGCAAACCTATTGTAGGTCTATGTTTGGTTCCTTTTGCCATAGGAGACCTAAGCTTTTGGAGTGGAGAAGAGCATATTAAGGTTTAAACAGCCCCAGTATCTCTTTTGTGAACCATGACCCCACTTGACAGTCCTGGCCAGGCGCCTGGACTTACAAAGTCACGTGGCACCATCTCCCTGTTTGGAAAAGCTATGCTTTTGATGCATACCAAGGAACAACAAGAAAAAGCAAAAGTACAATTATCACAATTTCAAGTGTGATGAGGGCATTTGAAAAGAGAGCAACTTAATTGTTTAAATAGGGATACAGGTGGACCCATTGCGCCAATGAGATGTACAAGATGTTATGTTGAAAATGAACTTTACAACTTTGGCACGCGGGGGATGGGGGGAGATGGGATGGGAAGGGGAAACAAAGGAGGAGGCAACATTGCTTGATAAGAAATGTACTCATTACCTTGCCCATGTAATTGTAACCCCTCTGTATGGTATTTTCACAAAAAAAGAAAAGAAAAGAGAACAACTTGTTGGAAAAGTCAAAACCTTTGTCAATATATATACATATATATATGTATATATATAAGTAGAACATGGAAATGTGTGTCTGCTATGGCATATGGGGGAAATGTGTGCATGCAAGGCAATGAGCAGGAGTACAAGCAGACAGGATCCAAAATGTTCCATTAGGAAAGGGCCAGTTGTGGGTACACAGTCAGGTGAGTTCACAGTGACCAGGAGCATGTGTTTCAGCATGGTTGGTGAAGCATCCAGGAACCAACCTACAACTAGATGAGTGATGATATCAAGAAGACCCTGACAGCCCAACTCCTGCCTGACAATTCTAAACATGCATTCAAGATTTTCCTTTTCCTTTTTGTCTTTCGGCTCGGAGGAGGCAAAGGTGCACCTTTCTTCCGTCATCCCGAATCTGGGTTCATCCGACACCAGCCACCTCCATTATGCCACCTAAGTTCTATCCCAATGAAATCAAAGTCGTGTACCTGAGGTGCACTGCTGATGAGCTGGATGCCATGTTCGCCCTGGCCCCCAAGATCAGCCCCCTGGATCTGTCTCCAAAAAAAGTTGGTGATGATATTGCCAAGGCGACAGGTGACTGGAAAGGACTGAGGATTCTTGTGAAGCTGACTACTCGGACCAGACAGGCCCAGATAGAAGTGATACCTTCTGCCTCTGCCTTGATCATCAAAACCCTAAAGGAGCCACCAAGAGACAGAAAGAAAAAGAAAAACATTAAACACCATGGAAACATCTCTTTTGATGAGATTGTCAACACTGCCCGGCAGATGCGGCACCAATCTTTAGCCAGAGAACTTTCTGGAACCATTAAGGAGATCCTGCCCAATCTGTGGGGTGTAATGTTGGTGGCCGCCACTCTCATGACATCATAGATGGCATCAACCATGGTGCGGTGGAATGCCCGGCTAGTTAAGAAGCACAAGAGAAACAATTTCAATTAAAAAAAATGAGACAACCAAAAAAACAAAAAAAGAATTTCCTCTTATGATTATTCAAAATAATTGATGAGGCTGAGCACGGGTGGCTCATACCAGTAGTCCTAGCTACTCAGAAGGCTGAGATCTGAGGACTGAGGTTTAAATCCAGGCCAGGCAGGAAAGCTGTGATGCTCTTACCTCCAATTAACCCCAAAAAGCCAGAAGTGGAGCCTTGGCTCCAAGTGGTAGAGCACTAGCCTCGATCACAAAAGCTCAGGGACAGTACCCAGGCCCTGGGTTCAAGCCCCAGGACTAGCATCAAAGAAACAGGTCTTTTTAGACTGAGGAGCTACCAGGAAGGCACTGGGCTCCAGAACAGCATTTAGGTTTTAAAGGGGCCCTCAAGGGATACACTAATTGATGTAATTATTTGCCTTTGATATTGTCAGAGAAGGAAATAAAATTCAGTAACTTGTCAGAATCAAGAGGTAGCTGAACCTACACAACTAGAAACTCAGTTTTGGAGGTCACCTTTTTACTATCCTTATAACAAACTGCAATGAAACAAGCCATATCAACGACCTCACATTCCATATTTTAAAAACTGCAGGAAAAAAAATAACATCCATCCTAAATGGTTGCCATTATCTGATCTCTCCTGCTCCCATTCTCATCCTGGCCTTTTCCTTAGGCAATGCCATGCTACACTGTGAGGATTCTCACAAGTATGGATAATATTCTCCCCAATTCATGTAATCCATCATTGCCCCAGGGAGCTAGGGATAGTACAATCAAAGATCAAGGTGATATAGATATGGTTCTAGTCAGCAATCTCCATGCTTAGTTACCTGGACACACTGATGTTACCATGAAGGTTCACAGGCAACCTGCTCACCAAAGCCCTCCCTTCCCAGTTTCTCTGTGATTATACTTGTATGTATGCTCATCAGCAGAGAGTTAAGTCTTAACCTTGTAGTATTCTTCTTTTTTTCCAGCTTACCTGGTATAACTAATGTTTTCTAGTACTTCTGAGCCAGAATAAGTTGAAGATGGCCTTGTTTCTGTCCACCCTCCCTTGCTTTTCATGTGGTGCAGAAACAAGCTCTTAGGCATATACCTAACATCAACATTAGGTTGTGCTGTCTTATAGAGGTAAAATGGGTGTTTTGCTGTTCATCTTTGGACTGTAACAACAACATCTGGAAATGAACACAACGAACTAGACCTTTAAAAGCCCCCTATAAATCCTCTCATTCCCTGGCACTGCTGGTGTTCCAGAGCTACTTGCTATCAGGATTCTTAAGCTTCCATTTTATCATGCATCTCAATACTTGAACAGAAATGAACAGATAATGCTGAGAAAGAGGAACAGTGTGTCCATTCTGTGCTTGTTCCCTACAGGGGACATTCTGCTCCACCCGGCCTTTGCAGTCCCACCCCAGATTGGAAACTTTGTTTTCTTTCAGGCCGTCACCAGGTTGGCTCCTTGTGCCCCAAAGCAAGCCCCACCTACTGAAAGTGTCTTTCTGCTTAAAAGGCAAGAGTATTGGCCAGAAGGAGAGAGCCTGTGGACACAGCAAAGGATCCGGCACAGGCTCTTCTTTAGGGTCCTCACTGGGATGTAGGTAGAGTAGTCAGCTCACAGTCAAGTTAGGCATCACTTCGTGATTGTCCCCTAGACAGGACACTCTGCTCCACGGAGCCCTTGCATTCCTGCCCTGGATTGGCAAATTTTGTTTCCTTCCAGGCCCTTGCCAGGTTGCCGACTCATACAACTAAGAAAGCCCTACGTGCTGCGACTTTCTGTTTAGAAAGCCAATAGCAGTCACCGGAAGAGGAGTCTGTGTGTGCAGGCAGGACATTTGCAACTGGGACAGCTTTGGTTCATCGCGTGGCCACCCGACGACTTTGCCAGACTTCCAGCAACGTGTGGCAATTATGCCTCCAATCAGGGTCCCCAGGGGAGCCTACACGATGAAGATGATGGCTAGGCCTGAACAAGGCCCGGCCATGACTTCAGCCATTACCATACGGGAGCTCTATGAGACGGAAATTTTGGCTGAGCCCGAGCCAGGTGGAGCAGAGAGCCGGCACTTTCGAGAAGGAGCTCTGGCCTTCAAGGATTACATGAAGCTCATAGCTGACCTGGATGATGAAGGTGACCAGAACAGCTTAGATGTGGTGAACAAAGACGGTGGCACTGGCGGCTCCAGCACCTACGATAGCCTTTGCAAGTGCCAGGTGCCTCAACAGCCGCAGGCCCTGCAGGCCCCACAGGCCCCACAGGCTCCGCAGGCCCCACAGGCCCCACAGGCTCTAGAGCCCTGGCAGGCCCTACAGGCTCCGCAGGCCCCACAGGGCCCACAGGCTCCGCAGGCCCCACAGGCTCCGCAGGCTCTACAGGCTCCGAAGGCTGCGCAGGCCATGCAGGCTCCACAGGCTCTAAAGGCCCCACAGGCTCCCAAGGCTCTGAAGGCCCCGAAGCCAATGCACAAGGCCATGACGACTCTGAAGCCCCGGCGCAGGACTGAGCAGCACCGGCGCAGGCGACTACGCAAGTTCTCACCTTGGCAGCTGGAGGAAATGGAAAATGTTTTCCAAGAAATTCAGTATCCTGATGCCTCCACAAGGTCAGTGGTTGCTCGGGTGGGGCCGGACCTCCATTGCTTGGCTCATTTCCACTGTCATTTTCCATCCTTTCACCTCTTTACTCCCAACCCAGTGGAGGTTTTGCCTTCCGAGGCACTGGGCCTGGGAGGAATGCCTTGGGATGCTAAATCAGTATGTGCATGCAGGAATAGACTGGAAACACGTCTAACAAATGACTAGCAGCCATTGCTTTTGGTTTCTTTTGCTTATGAGAGCTGGCAAATCAAAGTATGGGTGGGGATTTGGGGGCAGTGGTTGGTTACTAATTTGGAAACACACTGTCATATCATTTGTTATTTATTTATATCTAGCTATCTATCTACATAACTATTTTTCCTGAACCAAGACTTGAACTCAGTGACTCATTCTCTTGCTTGGATTTTTTTACTCTCAGATAATGCTCTACTACTTGAGCCACACTTCCTGCCCATATTTTTGCTGCTTAAGTGGAGATGGAGTCTCTCATGCTTTTCTTCTGTAGCTGGCTTAGAGCTGTGACTCTTCAGGTCTTAGCTCCCTGAGTAGCTAGGATTACAAGCTTGAGCTAAAGGTGTCTGGCTGCTTTGCACTTATTTTACCCATTGTATGTTTGCCTTAATACTCTCTTGATTGTTTTGACATAGTACAATTAGTCTATTTTGCTTGCATAATCTGTGTTGCTGCTGTGTGTGCTGCTGCTGTTGTTTGCACTTACTTTGTAGTAATGCTAAGCATAGTGTCACACACCTATAACTCCAGCACTGGGAAGTCTAAGACAGGAGTATATCAAGTATTAGAGCAGCCCAGTCTATGTATCATGTTCCAGAACAGCCTGGAAAATCCCACAAGTAACAATAAATAAATAATAAATAAATGAATAGACTATTGCTTTAACACCACCTGTCTTGATTTCTGAGGTCTAAAGCAATTTGTAGATTTGTGATGAGGTAGAGTCACTTGTAAAGCAGTATGGGTTCTGAGAGTTACAGAAAAGTATACTTGGGAGTTGTGAGGATGTACTGTAAGTATAAATTTATGCATATGACAAATTGTCCTTTCATCAGTTATAGGGACCTTGAACATTTGTGTTTTTCTCTTCACAGGAGTCAGCTTGCCAGAATCATCTGTGCGACAGATGCCAGAGTGAAGGTCAGTAAACCTGAAACAAACGTTTTGTAGTCAGTCAATCAAAACCCTGGTTCAGAACAAGCACAGATATATCCTAGATTGGTATGATTTTATTGTAGTTCTATTAGCAAATAGACACTGAATCTTGGAAGGTTTCAGATAGAAAAAGGCATAAGCAAACTCCAGCTTCTCATTTTTTCCCAACTGAAGACCATATGATATCCTAATGAAAGAAAATGAAAAATAGAGGAAAGAAAGGTAGAAGGGAAGAGGAAGATGGCAATGGTGACAAATGGGATGTTGGCACCTTAGGTATAGGAGGAAGGGGATGGTGTCCTATCAAGAGCCATCAGGTTGTGACAGGGCTGTAGAATCTGGTGTGGGATGACAGGAGCTGCTACTCAGCCTCCTTTGCCCTCTGGCTCACCTCAGGCCCTGAAATAGGCCATGGTAGTAGCAAGCTCTACTTGTGCAAGTGAATCTGGCTACCTCCTAGTAGTATCACCTCCACCAGATCCTAGCACTACTTGGCTTCTTACTGCTCCTCAAACCGAGCAGGAGGACCAACAGAAACTAAATCACCATTGGCATTCACGGGGTTATCCAACTTCTCAAAGATGAAATAATATAATCAAATTACATAAATAAGAGTAATATGTCATACATAATATTAATAAGGTAATAAAATGATTTAATTTTACATGCTCTCTTTTCTAACAGAGAACAGTGCGGGTCCTGTTCTTTTAAATATGAATAAGTGATTTTTTTAATAGGTGATCAGTATTTTTCCCTCACTGCCAATATTTGCACAGAAACTATTCTTGATATATGATGACTAGTATTCAGGAACTTATCAAGAAGCATATAGAAGTTCTACATCGTTTGAGTGGATTAATTTAAACAAATATGTCTCAGAAGTCTGAAAACGAGCAGTGAAGACTGCATGTGGAAAGCATAGCTTGCTATTTCTTTTCACATTCTAAAGTGATAAAAAGTAATAGGTGAACTTTGGGTTACAAAACTTCATATGTGATTTTTTAAACATACTTCAAAGACAAATGATTAAACTAACTTTGTGCCCACTGACATTACTTTGCACTTCATAGATGATTGTACAGCTCCTTTTTTGTTGTTGGTATCAAAACTTGAACTCAGGGCCTTGGTGCTGTCCCTGAGCTCTTCTGCTCACAGCTGGCATT